AATCTGAAGGATTGAACATAAAGCACTCATAGATTCTGAAGTGGATGAATTTTAGCCTCATCGAAATTCCCTTATCGTGGAAAGATTAATTTCAAGTCTAGCATAACAAAATACGATTTCAGCCATCATTAGCACAAGGATATCAAAAATCTCTAGCTGGTCGATAGGTTCAGCTGTATATTCATCCGCAACACTTGGAGCACTCCTATCTCGACGCTCCTTCTTCTCATACACAATAGGGTTGGCATTAATCAATTCAGAAACCATTTTCAGGTCCAACTTTGATAAAATTCACCCTACAGTAATGATAAATGTAAAGATCAACACGGGAATTTTTGAGCTTTGCAAACAAGAAGTAATAAATTTAACAAACTACAAATTGTCTTTCTTAGTCATTAGCTTATAAAAATTGCATATTTTAAGCCTCTCTTGGCCACCTCATCAAACAAAAAATCAATACCTAAACTTACCCCTCTCCCACACACACACCTCAAGCTGAAGCAATTAAGGAATTAAAAGTACCACAGTTTCCAAATAAAAAAAAAAACGAACAAAATAATAGTTTTACAGAACCCTCGTGACTTTCTTTGATAACAGAGGCATGTGCAGAAAAGAAATCCATATACTGATAGTGAAAAACATAAAAAACACCAATCTTATTTAAGGGTCGTGAGAATTTTTCCCAGAAAGATTCAAAATAAGTGCAAGGGGTCCAGTTAAAAATAACAAATTCAATAAGGAAACAATAAAGGCATATGCTTTAATAGATTTAACTCACAAGTTCAGTTTCCAATCTGGAAAAAATAACTGTATCTGGTTAAGGGGGAAAAAAAGAGAATGAACTACGAAGAGACGGTGGGAAAAAGAGATCGTTGGCGGGGAAGAACAACTCCTAAATCTTAGGACTTATACGGGTCGTAAATATCTTTTCTTTTCTGGGAAGACGAGGTAGCTGGCAAATTGTTTTAGCAAGAAAATGACAAAAATAGTGTCTTATGTTTGAGATGGTCTAAACTATTCAGTTTTGATATTAAATTGGGTTTGTCAAAAGTGAGTATTTTTTGAAAAAATATTTAATAAATTATAATTGTTAGATTTAATAAAACTCATACTTGGAAAAGTAATTTTGAAGTTTCTGCTATTTTTGTCACCAGTGAATGATGCAAATTCTTGATGTATAGTTTCTAAAAAAATTGACCCATTTTTTGTGTCTAGTGGAATTTTTTGGATTCTCAAAATTACATAAACCGTAATTTATTTTTCTTTTATGAAAATTAGGCCCTCATACTTTATAGGAACGTATTTTTGAATATTTTAAATTTAGATGATTTTCTCAAGTAGTCCTTTTTAGGTGTTTATGTTTTTTCGTATTTTCAGAAATTTTGCAATTACACCTATGAACTTCATAATCGGCTTCAAACAACATTTATATCAGTGATGGAGCCGAGACTTTAAGATCTTAGATGCTCCCTCGAGAAGAGATCTAAAAGAGGAGGAAGAAGGAGAACAACTGTCTTGTTGGAGAAAAAGATGCTTGTCTATTATGGGGAAGGTTGGTTGAGTTGGAAAGGAAAAACTAGAAAGGAAAAAAGAATAAAGAATCTCATTTTGGAAAGAGAATTAACATCTTGTTTGGATAGGTGTTGACCATTGTTTCATAATATATCTTTTTGTATTTTATTGTATTATACTGAATTATTTTGTGAATATAATATTTGAATAGATTGTATCTTTTGATACCATTTAATAACATAATTATTATTTGATTTGACCGTATCATATTTTATCACAACCGATAAGTTTACTAAAATGAAAACTTATAAATAAAAATAAAAGGCGAGTCAAGACTTTTTTCATAACATTTTCGAGTCAAATTGTGAAACCTTTGCAGAATTCGAAACCATATACGAAGCTCCTCATAATAATACTAAAAGAAAAATAAAATAAATATCATTTTATGTATGTCGTGTACAATCCCATTACTACAATCCAACATGACTATCCATGGAGCCTCTATTCTAAGGAATAAAATTAAACACCTGGGACAATGCCCAAACTAAAAGAAAATAAGAAACAACATGATAGCTACCACAGAATAGAAGTAGTGTCTCACAATATACCTCAGGAAGAGTCATCCTAACCTTGTCCACACATCACATGTCATACCTCATCCTAAAATATGTAAGGTAAGACACGCTTTGGAGAGGGGCCCGGGAGGCTAAGTACTATCGCACCTCTTTTTCCCCGAAAATTGTGGAAAGAAAGGAGTGTTCCCAATTAAAGTGACATTATTTGAATTTTGAATAGGGATTGATTTTATGGATTTTAGGAGTCGCCGCTTGGAATTACTTGATTTCGTTGTTCCAAGTCACCGGTTATTAAATCCCTAATCAAGAAAAGTTTTGACTCTAATTATGGTCCGCGAACACAAAAGATTGGGTAACAATTATTTTATTAACCGGGGAGGAGGTGTAAGGCACTCGCCGAGTTTCGTAATTTTAGCGTGGTTGGTTTAACAATTCACACTTGGTTCAATTAATCCCGAAAAGACAAGATTAGGAATGAATATATTAGGGACAAAGTGGGTGTGGCTCCTGTGGAAGATAAGTTGGGGGGATCGAGGCTGAAATAATTCGGACATAAGAAGAGGAGAGACTTTGATGCCCCAATTAGAAGGTACGAGAGGTTGCCCATGGAGAGTCAGAGGAGGGGCAGAGGGAGGCTTAAGAAGAATCAGGGTGAGGTGATTAGGCAGGACATAGCTCTGCTCCAGCTTAGCGAGGACATGACCCTCGATAGAAAAGTATGGAGGTCGAAAATTAGGGTGGTGGATTGATAGACAGTCTAGAGTTTCGCCTTATCTTACTAGTAGTAGTAGTAGTACTAGTCGGGTTTTTTTTCCTATTCCTAGTACCTTATTTTTATACGGTGTGTCATTATTTTCAGTAGGATTGACACTATTCTTGTAGTTTCGTATCCCTGAATCTCTGTTATTGCTCGTTGTATTATTTGCTTTCATTGTCTTATTACCTTGTTGCTGCTATTGTTTCTCTATTACTTCATTTTTACTGCTCTTGAGCCGAGGGTCTTTCGAAAACAGCCTCTCTACCTTCATAAGGTAGGGGTAATGTCTACGTACATACTACGCTTCCCAAACCCCACTTGTGAGATTTTACTGATTTGTTGTTGTATCCAATGTTCTTAGAGATTTTATGCATTTCCACTTTTAAACCGCTTTTAATTTCTTTATTTATCGAATTATGGAAATTATCTTGAACAAGTCACGCGTACGTGCACTTGTTATGTTTGTATGTCAAAAATCGTGCCACGCGTATATGCCCACGATTAATAATATTTATTATTATTATTATTATTATTATTATTATTATTATTATTATTATTATTATTATTATTATTATTATTATTATTATTATTATTATTATTATATTATTTGAAGTTAATAGGTCAATTCGCGTTAACACGCACTTGAATTTGGAGTTACATATCATAATTATATCACAGAAATCGTACCCATAACCATTGCCGCGCCTCGTTTTCTCGCGAAAGCGAGTTTCGACATATGAAAATTCTTTTAAATGGGCATTAAAAGAGAAGAGTTGTCACCTAACGATTTTGAGGTGCGTTAGGGCACCTATTTACAAATAACTCTGTTAGAATCAGTCCAGGTCATTAAAGATCGGGTAAGGGCTCAAATTACCTTAAATAGAAGGTGTCAGGTACTCTTCGAGGTTCACAACTGTGGGTCCCAGCCGAAGTTCATGCTATGTGGATTATTAGATAATAACTGTCCTATGTGATTATATAAGCGAGGGCAATAAAGAACTTAAAGGTTCTATTATGAACAAGTGTAAAGAAAATCGGACAATAGTTAAGTTATAAAGACGATCAGTACAAGTCTTTAGAGGTTACATGGTACAACTCAATTGTTCTAAATTCCACGACTAAGTGTGAACAAATAATCATATAAGGAAGAGGGGAGTCTTAAGTTTTTTAGCCTAAAGGATCACCCCGTGCAACATAAATAATACTTCGCAACTCCCTTAGGGTAGGGGTTGCTCATATTATTCAGCAGGCACAAACTATCATCTCTTGCTACCTAATTACTATATTAAAAGTTATTTACCTAAAGCGTTCTAATTCAATTCTAAACCGTGTCTTAGGCATGCACTACCCGTCCCTTGCCTATGGTCCAGGAGGCTTTGGACCTACTATTTGGGTGATTCTATACTTTACTTAGGGTCCTCGAAAATGATAAAACTAGCGCGCATTCAAAACATATAAGACCTCACATAAAGACAATAAATGGCTTAAGTTCGCCTCCACACACAAGCAAGAAATGCACGCGAGCATATTTAGGCAATGGATAATTTCAGAGTTAAGAAACATTATGGCCGTTAAGTCTTATAGGCATAATTTCTAGGTGATCCTGATTTCCAGCATTTGCACAGGAAATACTGCAGCTTTAGATCAATGAATTCGCAGCTTATAAACAATATAGACCCTATAGGCATGATATCTAAATGTTGCGGTGAGGCAGTGAAATAGCTTGAAAGCCCAGCATTAATAGCGTTAATTTTATAAACAGTTCTTCTAGGCGAGTGAGAGTATCCTATAAGCAGGATTTCTGATAATTAGACTTGGTTTTATAACACTTTATCCCTATAGGCATGCTATCTAAATGAGGCAGTGTAAAAATAACAGAAAGCAATTGATTAATTATTTAAAACCCTATAGTCATGGTATCTAGATGAGTATTATCAAAGCCATACATTATTGTATCCTATAGGCATGATGTCTAATGGTTAAGCAAGGCGTTTGATTCCTATAAACATGCTATCTAAAGCATTCAGTTGGCATGGAAACGGGTATAGCAATTACTTAAACCAATATGCTTCGAACAGTGTACAAGTATTTGGACAAATTAAGTGAGGTGTGTGATTCCTATAGGCATGACTTCTACTATTGTGTAGAAATAGAGTATGTCAAATAAAATAGCAAACAAAACATGTAGACCTTTTAGGCATATTTTCTACTCCTTTATGCAAAAATAGAATATACTTGTTCCCCCCAATTTCATTAACACCCCAATTATTTGTTTACAAATTATTACATGCCCAAATAATGAGTACAAGTACAAATATTACACAAAGAACAACTGCAAGCCTGAGAATAAGCCCAAACAAAAGCAACCCACCACTGTCTGGGCCTTTGACAAGCTCACTCTTTACACAACCAGCAGTCCCAAATCCCAAGCTTAGCAGAACAATAGAGTATGCCTGAATCCAGTACCCAGGTCCAACAAAATATATGGCCCAATATCAGGCCCAAGATGCATGACTTACTTAACCCAACTGATGTCAGACTTAACCATGCAAGTGACAACTACTCAGGGAATTAATTGAATAACTTTTCGCACTTAGTTCTTAAAGTTGTATCTACCAACAGTTCCAATCAAAACACATAGACAAGATCACATGAAATAATGACAAGTTTGCAGGACAAGTTCATGCTTGTATCCTCAGAAATAAAGTTAGAATGACAGGATTAACCATCATAGGCTAGTGAATTATTCTAACAAGAGTTCAAAAGTAAAATGATCTAGAGTTGGCCTAAAAGTACTTTAGATAAGAAACTTAAATATGAGAATCTGGTATAGTAGTAGACAAGAACAAGTGGGATACAATAGAATGTCTAACATGAGAGCCTAGAGAAAGTAACATAGCAGAACAAGCTCATGAGCAAATACTTAGTTGAACATGAGACAACTTTAACACGTTGAGTATCAGTCAATACCAGAAGCACTTATGGAAAACAAGTAACATGTCAATCAGGACATGCATACATCAAACTTTGTACTAGTTGGCCACACATAGGAGAAAAGGCTAGGTATGAGATTTTCTCAAGTAATATTGAAGAACACAGGATTGCACAAGTCAAAAGATACACTAGAACTCAAATAACAT